AGCATGTTCTGTAACCTGATCGGTGAGCGCTCAGCTGTCATAATTGATATTAACCGATCACAACCGACAGGACAACGGGCCCGTGGCTCAATGGTAGAACGTCAAACTCCATGACCAAAGATCCCGGATTGGAACCTCAAGTGATCCACACTTTGGGTTGGGTATGACTGGCGGATGACGGCTAATAAGCCAGAAATGGCCATTCCGATCTCCGTTGTCTTTGTTGGTATCACCTTCTCAACATATATCATTAGTCGCTGTGCGACTGCCTGCGAGGGTTTAAGTATGAGCCCCAAGGCACAACTGAACGAGCATGTTCTTTAACCTGATCGGTGAGCGCCCATCTGCCATAAGTGTTATTTTATCGATATGGTGCATAGGCTCCTTACTGTTCTATTCCCCCGCCCGGAAAATTAGACTTCGTTTAATTGTACAGGTATAAGAAAGCACATCCTAGTTTAATCAGGCTTTGCTAATTTCACAATTACAAGATCAATTGCAAAAACTTAATTCTAGCCACTGAGTATTTCAGACTCTAAAGCATTTTTCAGGTTACTGAATAACACCGATAAATTAATTTTGATTTCCATTGTATGCCAAAGTGTTTTGAAATAAAAATATCCCTATGCAAAATTTTCAAATAATGATTCTGATTAGGAGGTGCAGTTTTACAGGAGAAAATTAGGCGGTGCTCACGCGACATTCCTTCAAATCAAATAGACCGCCACATGCTAGATTGTTACTTGCCTATGGACGTATGCGAAAATGTAAATCGTCATGCGGCCAAATATGGGGTTCGTAATTCAGCGAGCCATCTAACCGATTAAGCAATTGCCAAGAACTGTAAATTCAAAGTTCAGATAAAAAGATTACGGCCATGGTAGCCCGATATTTAACATTTTGACTGCCTGTCTCGTCGATGTACACCGTGCACTTTCTAGCGAGGTGACAGCAGAGGCGGTGACTTTAGAGCAAGTTGGCTTAAGGTGATGGTGGGCTTGTGCTGCATCTAGCGCACTCTCTCCTCCTCCTCCCCAGCTGGGCCTGGTGTCATGACAGAGCCAAGAAGAGCGGAGGCAGGAGGGTATGCATAACACTGAAACGGCAAAATCCCACGCCAAGTCGTTCCACCACACCTCTTGGTCCACAAAGCATACTGACCAGGATTTTTACCAAAATAATTATGTGGCGCGTCACGGATCGCAACTGTCGCGGCGTGAGCCTGCAAATGGGCTTGCAAGCATATCCCCGATTTCCGCCTTTACTAGGGGGATGTGCATTCGCGATAACGCCTGCCGGACTCCCGTCTAGCTCTTTTGTTGGTTCAGCGCGTCAACTGTGCAGACAATTACAGGCGCAAACCGAATACAGTACACCCGACACACAGACACACTTGACAATAGAATTATCGCGGCTGACGAAGTCCGCCTCCTTCATATGAGGCGGAGCAAACAACGGCGACTTGTGCTTTAATTGACTTACGGCGGCGCAGCATTCACCGCACTCTCGTCCTCTTCACCAATGATGCCCTGGTGATGAAGTCAAGACAGCTGAAGGCGAGTACGAATTTAATGTCGGATATGGCTAGACAGCACGTCTACGCGCGGCACACACGGTCTGGTTTCTGTTCATATCTGCGAGGCTGTACCGGGTGTTGGATTAGATCTCATTTGGGCAAGAGGGTCACAAACGTCCCGCCAATGCGCCACTGCTGTTTGACCTGGAGTTCGGAGAGGGATCGAGGTGACCCATTATTTTGCAACCTTGCAGATCAGGCCCCAGAGGCTGATTTGCAGCAAGCATGACGTCCCCCGCGTCGACTTCTTCCTCTTGTCTCTCTTTTACTAATGGATTACGACTGCTTGCCATCCAACCGGAAATGGGATTAAAACCAGTGGCCGAAAGAGTCAACTGACCAGTCCACGCGTGTCGCACTCCTGCTGGTTCTATCTTCATAAACCAGGCTACCATGAGATGCCTCCCAATTAAATAAGGCAAGTGTGTTCTTACAGTAGGTGGGCTAACTCATGAAATATCAACTGAAATTCTGAAAAACGTTTTCGTTTCGAGAAGACTATTTAGTTAGGGTTGTAAAAGTGGTCATTATGAAGCGTACTTCTACAATAATTGAGGTACCCCAGGATGCCAGCTTTTGAACGAACTTCTTTTCGGCTACATTTAGAAACTATACTTTGCAGGAAAGGACTACTTAATTAGCACGCATTTTTCTTATAGATTTTCTGTGCTCCTAAAACCTCACTAATATTTCATAGGAAACATGCATAAAAATATTCTTTCTTTTACCCATTAGGTAGAATATTACGTCAGCGACCAGCCTTATGCTCGAAGAAAGGATATAATTCGGTATTCGAAAACATTTTCAATTCCCAAATAATTTTGAACCCGACTCGGCGTTACACTTACATTCAGGGTTTCCAAACTACAAACCGTATATTTTCCGCGTACGGAACGCTATACATTTCTCTACAGTATTATGAGAAGACTATTTAGGGTTCATAAAATGTAGCAGTGGATTTGAGCCTGATTGTAAACTTTGCAAACGACATTAGTAAATGTAAAGACACAATGTTTTATGAACGGGCATTTCTTGTTATTAAAAAATTTTAAATATAGAAGCCTTTTAAAACCGAATTATATCCTTTCTTTGAGACGTAATTTCCTACCGGATGAGCAAAAGAAGAAACATTTTTTTGCATGTGTCCCATGAGATATAATTGAATTTTCAGAGGCATCAAAAATTCATGCGGAAAATGCGTGCTATTAACGTAGTTATTTTTTACAGGGTGTGGTTTTTGCATGCAGCCGGAACAAAGTTCGTTCGAAAGCCGACATCCTGAGGTAACTAAATTATTATAGAATTTTTCTGCATGATGAGTATTTTTACAACCCTACTTAATCAATCTTTTCGAAACGAAAAAGCATCACGGAATTTCGGTTGACATATCATGAGCCAGCCCACCTACTGCATATGTGACGTTTTGTCCGCTATATCGGCGTCGGAAAACTGGATCACGCGTTTGCTTTTAGAGTGATGCTCGGTTAGTTGAGTGAAGGAGGCATCGCATAGGCGCGTGTTGTTGAGTAGGTTGACGTAAAGTATTGTATGTGCGTGTAATAGGGTTCGGCGAAGTACCCGGATGATTTTTGGTCTCGATGCAACAACCTTCGGACCTGAAACAGCACGTGCAGGTAGGGTGCATAATGTTGAGGGTCGTGGCAGCGACTCGCCGGTCTCAGGACAATGGATTCGCAAGTGACCGACCAGGCTGATGCGCGATTTTTTCGTTTGATGTCAAAATGAACGGGATAAGCAGATCCCTTCTAGTGTAGATAAGGCTGTACCGTTGACATAAAAATGTCCCGGTATGGGAGGCGGGTTGCTTCGGGTGATGTTGCTTTGAATTCTGCTGTTTTTGATGCACATCCTGGGCGGAGTGGACATGCAAAGCGTTTGTTACTTTGGTATGGGGGGGGGGGGGAAATGTTCCAGACGCCAGTTTGCCCGTTCGCCAGGGTGCGCAATGTCCCTCTGACAGCCCACGCATGGACACAGTGATGGAGACGGTGAGTTCTAATTTATACCCCGTTTTAACGGCAAATTTTGCGCAGAAAAGCCCCGACTGGCTTGCTGACGGCGTGCTTTTCCGGCGACTTTGTGACGCATTTTTTGGTCCCCATTCTCGTGCAGGGTTAAACAATGCCACATCTAAATACGGCTGCCTAATCATTCCAGGCGGCTGTCAAATTCCTCTTTACGTCGCCGGGCTGCCTGCGGTATTGCTTGCTGCCTTTCACGTAAGATATTTTGTTTGGAGGTAATAAAGAAGAATGAGGATTAACGCACGAAAATTTGACCGCCTCTGTCGTCTATGTACATATCGTGTGCTCTCCAGCAGGGTGAGAACAGGGACGGTGACTTTCATATGAGTTAGTTTGATGTAGTAGTGGACTTGCACTGCATCCAGCGCATTCTCTCCTCCTTCCCCATCCGGACCCGGTGTGAAGACAGAGTCAGGAAGACCGGAAGCGGGGGAGGGCGCAGGTGGATGGCATGGTCGAGTCTGTACCGTAGTTAACACAGCAAGTGATCAGATTTTTGACCATAAACAACAATGAAGGGGGGGGGGGGACAGGGATCCCACTGTGCGCGACGGCTGGCGGCAACCGGCTATGCTACCGCACCCCAAAATGTTAGCATTTGATAACGCCTACCACTTGTACTTGTACTTGATACGGCTGCGATCATGCCTGATCTAGCCGGCCACGATGATGTCCCGAACTGTACCTCTCCTTGCGTGACGATCCGCGGCAGCAGATCTAGACAGCTCAACCTATTCCCATCGCCAACGACGGAGACCGAATACCGAAGGTCCAAGAACCACCTCCATGTCTTGACGGACAGTGTCGAGCCAGGTTTTGAACTGACCCCCTCTTCGACGCCTCCAATGGGGCAACGGTGCTGGATCGAGGGCAGTAGCACTGAGCTCCTGAGGTGGACGACGAAGAAAATGCCCGAACCACCTCAGTCGTCTCTCTTGGATGGCCTGAGTTATCCTTGCGATGTCGTCGCAGCGAGCGCGGACTGTCTCATTTGAGACGAAGTCGGTTAACTTCACTCGAAGGATGATCCTCAAGCAGTGGTGGTCAAACACCTCCAGTTTTCGCTCATCCTCCACGCGCAAAGCCCAGCATTCACAACCGTAGAGAAGGACACACCGGATAGATGCACGGTACACGGCGAATCTCAGTGGCGATGGAGAGGTCACGTCAGATCCATAGGCATTTCCGAAGGCTTTAGAAAACCCAGCGGGCAGCATCGATTCGGGAGACGATGTCGTCCTTACTCTATCCATTAGGCGGCAGCCTCGCACTGAGGTATTTAAAACTGTCCACTTCTTCAAGTTGACAGCCACCAATCCCCAGAGGTGTCTTCTCCTGGTCAGGGATGCAGCTGGAGAATACTTTGGTCTTCGCAGCGTTTATGGACAAACCGACTGATTTAGCTCGTTCTCCCGTGACACCATAGACTGCAGATCACCAAAACTTGACGCAAGTAAGGCGATATCAACGGCATAGTCCAGATCAGTCAGTCGATGTCCGGATGCAAATTCAACGCCGTCACTGTCGCGTAGGGCCCTCCCGAGGATCCAGTCAATAGCGTAGTTGAACGGTATGGGTGACAGGATACAACCCTGTCGGACGCCTGACCGAATACCGAACGGTTGGGAAAGATTGTTACGGACCAGGACTCTCGCAGTAGTGGAGCGATAGTAGGCCTTGATCATGGCGATTATTTTTGCCAGTACACCATCTAGCGCCATTATCCGCCACAGGGACTCACGGTGAAGGGAATCGAACGCGGCGGCAAAGTCAACGAAGCAGACGGCCGTCGGTTGTTGGTAGCTAAGGCGAAATTCGAGAATGCGCCTCAGTGTGAATATCTGATCTGCGCACCCACGTCCAGCACGAAATCCGGCTTGGTTGGGCCTCGTCCTTGAGTCGCGCACAGCCTGGAATCGCCTGAGTAGGACAATAGCGAAGATCTTCGCAGAAACGTCGATGAGACTTATGCCGCCTACCAGACTCCGATACGTCCCCCTTGTTGGTCCAGTGCATCCACCACGTGGCCCGTTTGGGAGGCCCAACACACACACACACATCGGACACCCCCATCCAGGTTAGCCCGCCAGTCAAGGGCGGCCATCGGGGTGTGGCTGCAGTGGTAAGCACAGCAGCATCCAGCAGAGATGAGAGTTGGGTGCTAGGGCGGGACGAGACGAAGTGGGAGTATCCACCCGCTTCAGCGCATTGCTCACAAGTACTTGTTCCGGTCGTGGTCGCGCCTGTGCCAACAAACCTGGATGGTGGCACGTATTTTGCCTCCTCATGCGTAGCAGTTTCCGGACGGGCGCCCGCAAGAACCTGTAGCTTACGTCTCTACCTTCGTTTTCCAACAACGGTGCAAAATATTGCGGTTTTGACAATACACAACGTGAAAATTTAAAATTTTGATACAGGTTCTCGGTACAATCAGGAACTCTTTATTCGAACAGCCTGCGCTTAATGAATGTATGAAATGATTTCACCATATAATTAGGGGGAGATTAAGGATTGAAGAGAACGTTTTTAAATGCAACATCCAGGTATTTTAGTTTATTCATTGATCCATGCACTGCTGAGGGAAAAATGATCGGCTAGATCACAGTTGGTAGCCCGGAATAGGAAGCGGACGGCGACCTTAACCCTAATACCCACCTAAACCCTAACCCTAACCTCGACCGTTACCGATAACCGTTAACCCTAAAGACAACCCTTACCCTAGCCGAAATCGTAAACGTAACCGTAGCCCTTAGACATAGCCGTAACTGGGAAGCCTACCCGTAATACTGGAACCCTTTCGTACGCACAAACCCTAACCATAATCCGAAAACCTAAGCCTAAAGGCATAACCCTAACCGGGAAATCGGAAACCATTAGCCGGTACCCTAATCCTCACCTCAAACGTAAAACGGAAGCCAAATGTGTCAGATGTGATTATCGAGCCCCACAAAATAACCCCAGTAAACAACCCCCCCCCAGCCACCTGTAATGCCAATCCGGGCTACCATCTGCGATCTAGCCAAATAATCTCTCTCGAGACGCGAGTTTAATATCAAATATCTTGATGGCTTTCGTTAAAACTACTATTCAAGCTTATTGGTGGTAAAGGTGATTGCAAACATGCCAAAGTTTGACGAATATTTATTAGTCAGTAGTCAGTTTAAACATTGTAGCGCCAATAAAATCGATAGATTACAACGCTCTTTACAGCACTATTTAAATAATGATCGCTTTAACGGACCCGCGCATTTTGTTCGGATATGCAGGGAAAACGGCACTCATAAATATCAAGAGTTTCCCAAAATTCGAAAGACCTGACAATAAATGCCCTTTAGTGTTAATTATTTTGAGACTGACTACCATTAATGGGCTTTGTGGTTGTGCGAAATTCTGGAAGTCAAACAGCTGCCAATGCATCGCCCTAAAGACGAACGAGAAGTCTAAATGGCCCTCGACATCTGAGTAAAGGCTGGTGTCGAATAATCCCACCATCGGACCACAACAATAGTTCAAAACTATTTTGAAGTAGACTAATTAACAAGTGTCACTGCGAACTGCCAGATACTTATATGAACTCTGCAGAAACAAACAAACTAACTTTTTAATTTCGTTTATTTTAAAGGTCCTAAAAACGGAGAAGAAAGCTTTAAATTTTTTCTAATTGCAGTGGGCCTTCCATTTCATAGATGATTAGCGCAGTCTGGTTTCCTGAGGACCCCGTTATTTACCTATAAATAAGCTGCTAATCTGAGAAATGTGGATGGCTCATCGGATCAGGGGAATTGTGTAGCTGCCGTTTCGGAAGGCCGAGCTGGCTCTCCAGAATCAAAGTGTTTTATACGAAAAGTTGATGAGAATTTTAAACAGACGCCCGAAATAGTTGGCTTTGGAACGAGGCTCAAGGGGTGATGCCTAATCTGACGGGTTCTAAGCATGCTACGTCGATAACACTGTCACCATTGTGTGATCTTCTGACGTGAAATGCCTTAAACAATTACTGATCTCAGTTGACCTGGATATACAGTGGGTGAGCTAACTTACGAAATCTCAGCCGAAATTTCGAAATGCGTTCTCGTTTCGGAAAGATTAACTAAGCAGGGTCGCAAAACTAGTCAACCTCAGGATGCCGGCTTTCGATTGAACTTCCCTCGGGCTGCATGCACAATCTACACCCTACAAAAATGACTACTTTGTTAGCGCCAATTTTCTCGTTGCTTTTCGATGTCCTTAATAGTCTAATTATATTTCATGGAAAACAAGCATAGAATTATTCACTCTTTTGCTCATTCGGTATAACATTACGTCTTCGTCTAGTTTTATGCTTAAAGAAATGGTATAATTCGGTTTTCAAAAACATTCTTAATTCCCGATTAATTTTGAACCCTCTCTACCGTTACACTTGGATTCAGGGTTTCCAAACTACATGCCGTATATTTTCCGCGTACGAAGAACCACACATTTTTATACGGTAATAAAGGCGGACCATATATGGTTCATAATATTTAGCAGTGGATTTGGTTCACGTTGTTAACGTTACGTGCCACAGTGTTAAATGCAGATACATGACGATTTACGAACGGCCATTTCACGGTATTTAAAAGCCCCACAATTAGAAACTTTTTAAGACCAAATTACGTCCCTTCATTGAGCATCAATTGTAGCAGAAGACGCAATTTTCTACCGGATGAGCAAAAGAATGAATAATTCTATGCATGTTTTCCCTGAAATATAATTGGACTATTAAGGGCATCGAAAATCAACGAGAAAATTCATGCTATTAAGCAGTCATTTCTGTAGGGTGTAGTTTGTGCATGCAGCCGGAGGGAAGTTCATTCGAAAGCCAGCATCCCGAGGGAACTGAAATATTATAGAATTATGTTGCAGGCTGACTAATTTTACGACCCTACTTAGTTAATCTTTCCGAAACTAGAACGCATTTCTGAATTGCGGTTGAGATTTCGTGAGTTAGCCCACCCACTGTACAATTCAGGATGGGAGCAGAAACCAACAACAAACTGCTCTTCTCCGATGTCCTTGTGCGTCGAAGTGCCAATGGCCAAGTACAAACTACTGCTTTCATAAAAGTCACCCACACAAAACAACTGTTACACTTCAACAGGAATCATCCCCTCTCTTATAAACATGGTTGTGTCCGCACTGTACCTCAAAGATTTGAAACATACTGCAGCATATTAGCTGAAAAAGAGCTGAACGACAATACCTTCATGAGCGTTTTCGGGCCAGTGGATACCTAATTTATTTTGTCGAGCAAAGCAAGCGCCGAGTAAAAAGATGGCGGCCATAAGAAGAGCACCCTGAAGTCTAGAGGGCTACTACTTTCGTTGAAGCACTCTTCAAGACGGTTTCACTACTATTACAACCCGCCAAATTAGGCATCGCCCCTTGAACCCCAGGCAACAATTCGTCACCGTTTGATGCACCCCAAAGACACACCGTCGCCCACTGAAACCTCTGTAACTCTCTGTCAGATACACTGTGACGATGGATACTGCAATAACGCTGGAGAAACCATACGGAAATCGTAGACCCGCCTACAGGAGCACGAGCTGGCAACTAGGTGACTAGACCCGAGCTCATAGCTTGCGACTCACAACGGAGAAATTGGCCACTGTTTTGACTTCCAAGGATCAACCGTCTCAACCAGGGGCACTTCAAGGACAGAAAGTCTTACCCTCCTATTAAAGTGATGACACAACGCAGGGGACCGCCAGTTTTCACAAAAGAAGAAAAAGTTACTCAGCCAAAGGTCAACTATTTTGGTCGTTTATTTAAAATCCCGGTCAATTTTTCGCATAAGTCGCTTTGATACTGTAGAGCCGGTCAGACCCTCCAAAACGTCAGCCACGCAATTCCCCTGAGCGGTAAGCCATTCTCGTTTGTCAGATTATAAGTCCGGATTTCTTACCTTTGCTATCCAAACCGTCAATCACAAAGAAAAAGTATTTACGGATTACTAATAGGGAATTGTATTGCATTCTGTCTACTTAGTCTCCTGACGTCTAAAACATAGCGGTTAGCCCACTCGGAGTTATTTATTTCATTCCACGACGTACCTAGAGCTGTTGATCACATGTTGCTTCTAAAAACGTAAAACCTGAAAGGGGGAGACTTTGGCGACATTGCTGTCGCAGTTATAAGCATGTAAATGCAATGGCACTACCAGATTCATAAATAAATGCATACTTTAGTCGGAACCATAAGCCTTAAAAGGACTCGAACAGTATTTAAGCCCTTAAAAATGCCACAAAAAGCTCATTTACCCTAGGATGACCTTTGTAGACTTCCAACCTTAGTTTACGACAATAGACAAAATGCCACATTTGTTGGGTAATTCTTGGACTTCCCGCGACCACTTTTTATGTGGCAGAGGGCCATTATGCAGACCATCGCACACCAAACAACAAGGCGGTAAAAATAGTAATAATGGTAGCACAGTTCCTACTGCCATTACTACCGCTACTACTTGCAGTGCCCATATTCCATCGAAGAAATAAAATATTTTCGCCCTTTTAATCGGATTAATAAGGCAAAAGAAATGCCAAGTACGGTTACGGTCTGGACAACAGTAGACGGCTAACAAGTCCCAAGCGGCCGTTCTTGTTTTCTTTGTCTTTATCTCCTACTTACGCTGTGAAACTGTAAGATTTAGAAAACAAAGGGCTTGAAAGGCATTAAGCGAAAACTTGAAATGAGATGTCAAATATAAGGAACAGTTAAGCGGAATTGTAATATTGAGCCTTACGTGGCATAATCTAAAAACCCTTCGCTCAGGCCAGGATGTCGGTCGTTGGATGCATTTTGTCTGACAAATTTCGATGCTACCATAAATCAAAGATTCTTTCACGTAAAACAAAAATAAAGTGTTATTCTTTGTACAAATTCCGTAGTAAATCACGTCTTATTCTTATCTTACACTTTCCAAATAGTGCGTATTGCAGTTTAACAAATTTTGCAGTCGTGAAGAGGGAGACATGATCGTCTGACGTCTCGGATTCCTGCTCGAAACCATCATCAAAGAAAAAAGCAGATCCGGGTGGTT